AGAGAGAAAATATGTGTGTGTGTGTGTGTGTGTGTGTGTGTGTGACAGAATGTCTGTGGTATTAGGTTTGAGCAGAGCAAGTGTGTCCTCGCCAGAGGAGAGAAGCTGTTGATTCAACTGGTCGCAGCCAAGGCCTTGTCGCCCTTGTCCTCATCTCTCTGTCTCGCTCTTTCTCTCTCTCTCTCTCTCTCTCAAAATCCCTTTCTTACTAAGTCTCAACCTCTCTCTCCCTCTCTCCATTTCACTCATACATATTATAAACAGGACATTTTACTTAATCCAAAATCTCTGCCCCTCCTCCTTTGCTTCTTTGTCGGGTCGTCATTGTGAATTACAATCTGCACAGAACCGGCTTGCCTGGTTAAAAATAAATGTTTAACAAAAATAAATCCTCAAATGTGTGTCCTTAAAAACTAAAGAGGATGACAGCCGCTTCACTGTAACACGCTGTGTGAGGTTCAGACGAGGATCTTTGCTGAAATAAAAATGAAATCTCTTCTGTATGTTGCTCTCTCATGTTGCTGCATTTTAATGCCCATGTATCCTTAATCCACAGGGTTTCCACGTTTCTCCAAATCATAGTTTTGCATGCTACGTAGCTGAAGAGAGCAAACACTACTTATGTCAGTCAAATCAGGAACAATTAGCAAATTACAAAGAACTTAGAGAACTTGTTTCAACCTGACAGGAAAACCATGGATAAGTTATTAGTTTATCAATGTAATTTAAATGGTCAAAATGTAAGAACTTATTGATCAGCTAGTTACAGTTGTAATTTCAGGAAGACTGACAGTATGAGACCAACCAGTCAAAAGAAAATTATCATAAATCATAGCTGATATACTAATACTTAATCTATACGTTCAACATTCAACAGGTGTGTCAAAAGGATTCATGTGATCATCTTAATTATCTTAAATATGCATCAACTTTTCCTGATTTAAATCTTATATTCATTTGGCAGACTGACTTAAATTAAGTAGTTTATACTAAACATAGAAAATGCAACCTGGATTTTCAAGGCTAATTGTCTGACACCTGGCATAGAATAAGAAATACCATAAAAAGTATTTGCAGGTAGTATTTGGATCATATCTGCGGTCTACCCCTTCATCTTTCTATTTATCCTCACTGTGAATGTCCGTTCCAACATTTACAGCTCCAGACATGTAAAAACAGCCAATAAAACGAGCCTGCCACTCTGAATGTAACACTGGCTTTACTGTATTTGGAAGCAGCCCTGTCAATGTTAGACTGTGTCAGAGTGGATTTCAAAAGGTGTGTGTGTGTGTGTTTGTCAGGGATGAAAACACACACTGGTAATTACACAGGCACATTCAGTCTGCTAGAATGAGTTAACCAAAACAAAACAAAAAAAGAAATTTTCCTTTCTACACTTTCTACGTAGAAGGTAGGATGGAAGAAGAGGACAGTACAGATTTAATAGGAATGTATTGCACTGTGTACCAGCTGGTATGATTCATATTTCATCTCGCAGTCAATATTCAACTTTACTTTCCACTCAGCTAAGAATGGAAATTTTCCTTCGGCCTCAAACAAGCTTATCTGAGCATGTAGAGCCCAGAAGTAAAGAACTGCAATAAGTTTTACAATTTCATAGATGGAGGTCTCTGTTTTCAAGTCTGGCTCAATCTGCTGAAAATTCTTCTACACACCCACACTTCTTACCTTTATTGACAACGAATGTCAGTTTTAAAATCAGAGTGCATATACTGTGTTTACGTTCGACAAAGCCGGTCGTTCAGTGCATAAATGATGTTGTATAAGTTGAGAAAAAAAAAGAAACCTTTACAGTGGCTGAAAATAGAGAGGCTGTTTTAAAGATAATCAAAATAGCTGTATAGAAATGCATTGATAAAATATTATAATTCTAAAACTTTAAAAAAGTGCTTCATTTTCGAGATTGTTATTGTATGATTTGTACAGTTGGTTCTGTGTATAAAACTCAAAGGGTTACTGATAGCTGTTCAGAGATTTCCTGTACAGCGTCTTGGTTTGGTTTTTCCTTTAATAACCACCTGATTAACTCTTTGACGCCCAAAACTGAGATTTATATGTTATGTTTGTATCACTGTGTGTGACATAGTACATGATGTGTGCATTATGACTCCAGCAGCAGCTCATTATCAAGGCCAGTGTTATACTAGACGTGTAAATGAACAAGTGAAATGCCTTGATTTTGATTGAATGTATACAAAAACAGATGGTTTGAATTCATTATTTCAAACACTAACATGTGTTTTTTATTTTGATGATGCAGTTTTGGTGGACAGTCAGGGTGTTTTTATTTTTTACTTAACTAATATTATTCCTGCTGTGACTAATTAAATAGTATGGTTTAATAGATTAAAACTCGGTAAAGCTTCTGATCTATAAAACTGAGCCTTCAAATGACTATGATTATATTTGTAAGTGACTGAAAATCAACATGAAATAGAGGAATGTCGCCCAATTTAATATTTTAAAAAAGGCATAAAAAACAACCCTCCTGCAGTACTGTATGTAATTTTTGTGTTAATCTGAAGACACCGCTGAGTGTACATGTCTGTGATGTAAGCATCTCTCTCATTTGTATTTTTTTACTCATGCAATGATTCATAGAGCATTCATTATCAATACACTAAGGCTACTGCCCAAGCTGGTGTCTTTTGTTCAGTGTTGTGTGTGTGTGTGTGTGTGTGTTTTTTTTTTCTGGCCTCATAGAAGACCTTATTTCAAAAGGCGAGTTTTATTTGTTCAATTTCCAACTGTGAAAAAAATTAACCACAATCGTTAATGATGGTGAGGGAGACTTCAGCGGGCAGTATAGTTGCATCACGTATCCTGGTGCGCAGAGGGTTTCAAACTGAGCTGAGAGCTGTTAGCTGGACAAACCAAGCCAGTGGTCATCACTTAACACCCGACTAGCATTTGAACATAAGATCTTCTGGATCAAACCAGTTCTTGGTAAAAGCTCCTACTGGCTGTGACCTACTTCTTTCTAGGTCGAAGTCATGGACTCATTTTTATACCAACATACCATCGCTGGGGTGGTTTCAGTCTCATGGATTCACTGCAGTAAAGTGATTGTTCACAAACACATTTAGAGACAAAAGTGACATAACAAACACAATAACTGTAAGGCAACTTAAAGGACCAGTGTGTAGGATTTATTGGCATTTAGGGGTGAAGTTAAAGACTACAACCAACTGAATATCGCTCGCCTTCCAAGCATGTAGGAGAAACTGTAGTGGGTGCAAAATTGTTGCGGACATGGGAATGTTTGAGATTAACCAAACACATAACCACGCTTTCTTTTTACCTAGAAAGCTATCTATGTTTTCAAATATAATGTTCTCAACAGCATTTGCTTTCTATCTTATAAGAGATAGATCTTGTTGTGAATTGTTTTCCTGAAAACTCAGAAGACCAGCCAGTTTGCTGTTCATAAATTCAGTCTATTTATAACGTAAGTGTTAAATAAGTGGAGTTTATGCATCAATACATTAAAACTGGTTGCACAATACTTTCTACAAAGAGATGAGTTGTCTAAATATATAAATATTGAACTGTAATTTAAAGTCTAAAGCTTTGCATCATTATTTAACGGCATTTATCAAGTATCAGGTCAGATTGACTGTAGTCATATTTATTTTACTGTAAACTGGTCATATGTTATCTTAAGTTCGTCAGATGGTTCAGTTAACTACACACTTACACTTGGAGCTGCTCATAAACTCAAGTCCAGCATAGTTTTACACATGTTTAAATTAAATCAGTTTACACTGCACATGTTGAGCTTACTGAATTCACACCTGACAAAACTAATGTTAGCTTGCTATGACCTGTTTAAAGTGAAGAGTATAAGAGGTCAATGGAAAACGGTTGATATATCTGACCTGAAACTAAGAATGTAAATTATTAATTAATTACATAAAGATTTTAAATCACATTTAAAAAAAATATATCTAATTTGCAAACCAAAATGTATGTGCATGAAAGGCACAAAACCAGTTTGGGGTACGAATTATTACATCCTTCTTCTGTGCCCTCGTGTATTTACCAATCATCATCAGGCTTTTTGATGATTTTGACCAGTCCTTGGCTCTTGAAGATGTTTGATTTTAAATACAAAACTCAAAATAACATTGTAATAGTCTGGACTCTATTAAAAAAACAACAAAGTACGACTGCTGTGTCAGTTTATGTCCAGTCCCTGCTAGTACTTATGATACAAACAATTTAAACAAGTAAAAGGCATTTTATATATCAGAGTTATTTTCACAAGCTTTGTCTCTCCTAATCTTGTCTCCTCTGCCTGTTTGTCCACTCAGCTACTAAAAGTGAAATCCTCATGATAATCATAGGAGATTCAGGGATGTGTGCCAGGAGGACTGGGACAGATGAGATGGACTAAATAAGGACAAAAATGAATGCCTTACCACTGAGAATAAATTTTAGAGGAACACACGTACCATTAGATCTGGGATGCTATGCGTCACATTTTGCTTTTAGTCACATTCACTTGTTAGAGTTACACCGATCTTAACTTTGTGACTCCTTTGATACGTTACTGAAGTGGGTATTATGTTGTTAAATAGTTAATATCATTAAAAGGCAAAACAAGTGGCATACAACACGATGCTGGATCCAAGCTACAGCATTTGACATAAAAGCTCTTTGATCAACTTACAGTTTAATAATTAGTGTGTTGTGGTGCCTTTCAGATGATTCAAGCTTGTGTGTAGCATCCCCGGAAGCTAACACGGCACCGCGCTGTAGCAAAATAAATACTGAACACTGAGCTGAGAAGAATGTTGCCCTGCAGCACTACTGGAGATGTGCAAATAAAACTTTTTAGTTTTTGGCTTCCAAAATACAAACTAAATTAGAATATTTGTCTTTGTATATATTACAGATAATTCCAAATGTGCACTTATTTACCTTATTTATAAGGAAAACAAAATGGTGAAACTGTGACCAGAAGCTGAGAAATTTCAAATGAAATTGCCAGTCTGGTATATTTGTTTACTCTTCATGAAAATGGGTTTTCAATAGATGGTACTCTAAATCTGCCTTTGGCTACATTCCGTGTATTATATAACATCAGACTTAACATCTTAAATCCCAAATGGGTGCTGCAGAGGAGATTAACATTGTATTGTTCATATTTCAGACCCTATAGATTTATGTTCTTGTGTCAAGTGTGGGAAAAGAGTTTGTCACAAATTAATATTTAAGAGCAAACCATAAATCTTTCTCCCGAGCGGCAGTGAGTGAGACCTCTGTTGAAGTAAAGCTGGACACAACAACAATCTTCTCCCCCACTGGCCACTAGGAAGTTTATGTCAGAGGTGTTAATTTAGAAGACTTTTCTCCTGCAAATTCAAATTTTCCATCAAAATAAAGACACAGTCCATCTTGCAGTATGGAATGATACGGAGGGTAAATCATTTAAAAATTAACAGTCAATTTTCAGTGCTTCTTGATGTTGATTTGAGATGACATTAGTATTGCACAGTGAGACTCCTCTTGTATTAGATGATGAAGGTAGCCTGGATTGAATTCTTCAACTAGGCAAAGATCTTAGTGATGAACTCCCGGAAACGTTTCGCGTACTGCTCTGGATGAACTGTTGAGATTTCTGCTCCAGCCTGCGAAACATACATTTGATCAGACATAACTGAATGGGAAATGAAAGCATCCCTTTACACTTTGCAGGATAGAGATCTAAAGGCGGCGCTAACCAATCCCTTTAAAGAACTGCTGGTCTCTCACCCCGTGTTTGACAGCCTTGGCAGCGTGAGCAGCTTTCTTCTTGGTGTCGTACTGTGTCAGCACGTCAATCAGACCCATAAAATACACCTCCCTCTGGGGTGCACCTACATGGGAGTGATTCACAGCATTTGGTGAGTGACATTGATCTGCACAAATATTTTTATTTGCTGCAGCCCAGCATGAAATTGAGGTCTTTTACAGCATAGGGCTCTTACAGTATAACCTACTTACATTCACCAGAGAGATCTCAGCTGCCAGGACTCACCTACAGCGCTCTGAATAGCGTACACATCCACATAAGGGTCAAACTCCCCGGCACCCATGGGTTTGAAGGAGTTCATGTAGCCACCGATACCCTCGGGTGAGGTGGATCCCGGAGCAGGAGCCGGGTCGTTCTCATCCTCCTCTTCCTCTTCATAGGAAGAGTCCATCTCCTCATCCTCCTCCTCCCTCTCAGCTCGCTCCACATCATGGATGCCCAGCAGCAGGCTGTAGTCCATGATCCTCATACACACCAGAAACTGCAGCAAGAGGACACACACCACTTTTGTCAGAGAAAACAATGGCTGCATGCTTCCCCAACATTGTTTTCTTACCTCAATATCTCTGTTGAGCTTGTCCATGATCTTCTCCTTCTCCTCATCACTGACGTAAACTTTTTGCATGTTATTCCTGAAGTCTACGTCTTTATACGTAGGCAGCTCTTTCACCTGGAAACATAGAGTGAAGGTCAACAACCGTGAAATTACATTTAGGCTAGAAATCACAATATTCATTTGCATTTTTCTCATTAAAAGACGATCAGCCATCCTATTTCCAGTGGCAGAAAGTCAAATAATATTACCCCAAATATTGTTTTCCCAATCAACACAGTTGAAAAGATCAAAGGTTTCCACTGCTCTGCAGTTTTTTAAACAGCATCCACTCAACCAGCTATTTCTTCTTCTTTTTATCGAGATCATAGGAGTTCTGGTGTGATTTTAAAGTCTATTTCCAAGTGATTTTTTTTTCTGTAAAAACATTTCTGAAAATCTAAAAAGAAAATCCCATTTGTCACAATGCACAAACAACAACAATTAGATACAATATAGGAGATGCAATTTCACACTCTGCCCTCAGTCATGCATTTCAAAAAGTATATTTCTGTGGTTTGTTGTTAGATATACAGCCCAAATATACACCTTCAGACTGACTGATAACACATCTGCAGCCAATTCAAGCTCGTTCGTTAAGTTGTCCTTGTTAAGCAAACACAGTTTTCACTATAATTATCTCACTTACCGGGGCCTTGTAACTTTTATAAATGTTTTTATAAATATGAATCAAAAGCACTGACAGTTTACAAGTAAAAGTCAGTTTACTCTTAAGGAGAAATATCAATCAGCTGGTGAAAACACTGGTATAATGTCTGCTGTGGCTCTGGAGGAGCTTTTTCTAATGTCTGAGGAAATAAAGGATTCAGCATTTAATGGTAGTGCAGTACTACATCACAGGAACTGTAGACCAAAATACCTTTTTAGTGGTATAACAAATACTGAACCTGTCTTTAAGGTTAACATTTCTTTCATAAAAACAGTAGCAGTGCCAAACCTTTTTCTTTCTTTTTTTACATTATTTCCATTGTTTTATGAAATATCTGACCAGGTCACCATACATTTAAAGGTAACAAACTCAATGGGGATACATGTCTACCCATGTAGGATCTGATACACCATCTTTTCAATGATTGTGAGTAAAATTACACCAAAAACAGCACTTGCTTGTTATTGAAAACATATCTGACTACATCCCTTCAGTAAACTGCCAATAATGAACACAGCTGTAGGACAGAAAGTAGACTTTAGCTAGAGCTCGTCGCACAGCCTTTACCTTAATTTGATCTCACCTTCTCTTTAAAACTTGCTTCACGAGACACCCGGGACCCCTGAGGAAAGAAAACACCCCTGCAGTCACTAATAGTAATAACCATTATCCTGTCTAATCCTTACCAATTACAAGCGCTTGAAGTCGGAGTCTTCATAATACATGTACAGCTGTAAACCCAACAGTCTGCTTGCTACTGAGGTGGTTTTGGGTTTGCCATTACTTGAATTCATGAGCGTTAAAGAAACTATATGTAGAATTATGTGATGTGATTATGGTGTCTTTCAAGTTGTTCTAGCATTCCCTCTCTTCCTTTCATAAATACATGGGGACAGCATTTACTTCTTCACAAGACTGAAGAAATTCATTTGGGGAAAAAACTGTGATATAATGAAAGTTCATGACATAAAAAAACATCCCAAAGTTCCAACATGAGGTGACCAAAACACTACAGGCTCCTCTTGCAGGATTTACCTTGAGGTCATACTTCCTGTGTACAAGCAGTCTGTGGCTGAACATGTTCCTCATAACTAACAGGTAGGTGTCCTCGCTCTCCACAGTGACTCTGTACATGGCCAGGAACTGAGGGAGCAGCGTATTGCCGTGACAGGTGACAATATGCTAGAAGACAACAGCAGTGAACAGACAATGAATGATGGGAAAATAAAGGAGATGCTTCAGCCCAGAGACATGACGCAGTGCAGAAATGAAAATGCTGCCATCTGTAGTTAAATGCTCCTCCTGTAATCAACCCTGTTTAGTTCCTGCTGTCTAAATAAGCATTAAAACATCAGAGGTAAGTTGGCTGGTTGTCATAGTTAAAAAAATAACAAATTTCATCATTACTGTTGTTAGTAATTGCTTTTTCTACTATGACAAGTCAAAATGTCTGCTGTGGAAAAAAGGTCTGTTAGGATTAAACACACTTCACTGCACCACAATACACAAGCAAAACTCCAATATTGTGTTTATTTTGCCAACATGTAAATTCAGTTATTATTCTCTGTGTAGTTAAATGTGCATCTTGCCCATAAACCTTTCCCATCAGTCTTCTCTTTATACACGTATACTCATGACAGCGTGTCTTTGCTTTATATTAGATATTTTTATAGATACATTTAATTGTAAAAACAAGAACTCTGTCATGCATCATTACTTGCAGAAGAAAAAACTCTTTGTTTGAAGTCAAACACCCCTCTTTCAGCTTTGATGAAAACCTTTGCCATGGCAACCAGGGTTATCGCAGAAAGAGAACATTTTCTCCTGCTGTACAAAAGACACAGGACAAAATGAGTGGGAAATATGTGAGTAATGGAATGTCTGTTCGGATTTTTACTGACTGGAGTTATTCACAAACAAAAAAATAGACAAACTCACGAAAATGTGGGGTTCAGATCATGTTTTGCTCACAGTGAAAAGACATTTAAACCTCCAACCAGAAGCAAGGCTTTCCACCCCTGTGTTAGTCCTACCTGGTGATACTCAGAGAGGATGTTGTGCATTTCCTCCACCTCCTCGCTGGAGATTTCTTTAACTACCAAAGTGCGGTCATATGACGTCAGCAGCAGCCTCACGCACTGCCCGTCCTCGTCTTTGAGTGGAGGGCTGCGGGCCAGAGACACCTGTTGGTGAGAGAGAGGACGGCATCTCTGAGCACTGGCAACATGTGACATCAGCTGTACAATACACACACATACTATTGCACTGGTGTCCGTTTTTTCTCTGAAACATCATTTCTAATATAAACAGACAGGAAATCTTGAAAAAAAAGGGCATAACATAAAAACTGTTAGAACATAAAAAGCTGTATTTTATGTTAGAACATAAAAAGCTGTATTTTGTACTGCTGCACACTATGTTTCCAGACATTTCTTGCATCATTTTGGTCGATGTGCAGAAATAAAACTTTCATACTTTAAAGAGCATTTGCAGTAAGCCTCACACACAGTAATTGTGGGCTAAGCAAATGTGCACTGAGCAGAATGGATGATGACTGTGCACCACCTGGCACATGCAAATATCACACAAAGAAATGCAAATTCAGGGAGCTGACCAGTACATACAGATGAGTGTCTGACTTCATATGAAAGTTTGCACAATCAAATGTTGGTTTGCAGTGAGTTTATAATCATACCTGGTAATCTTGGTCCTCGATACCAAAGCGCTCTCTCAGGTTTCTGAATACCTGTGGACAGTACTCTTTGAATTTGAACTGTCCTGGAAGATTCTCCCTGAGGAACAGAAGAAGTTTAAACACATAAAATAAGAATAATACAGTTTAATTTACTGTCTTCACACATCATCTAATCAGCAGCTGAGAGCGTTACTACATCGACCATTAAATAATCATTAATTCATTAAATATCCACTACTTCAGATAATTAGGTTTAACATGAAACGTTTTCCCCTCTGATTCTCACTATATCTTTTTTAAATACAGCACAAATATAATATTCCAGTTCAGTTGTAACATGTACAAATCATGTGATCAAAGGATAACATGATTATATGCCTTTCTATATGAATATGGTCAAAACAAATACAATCTACACAAAGAACCAATTACAAACTGTGTTTATATTAATTCACACTATATACTTGTTTGTGTTCATTAATGCCACTCAAACGTGTGTTTAATGGTGGAGGCAAGAATCATTGCTTATGTTCTGTTGAAACTACTTGACCAAATTCTTCTTTAGCATCCACATGAAGAATCACTTGAGTAAAATCTCCCCAAGGCAACAGCACTTTAACTTGAGAAAACATATTTTATTGTTCAGCCCACCTCTGTTTATAAGTCTTTACACGACCTGGATTCCTGAATGGATTAAAGGATTATTGAAAGCCACTCAAGTTTTCTAGACTCCATCCGTATAGAAAGTGAACCTCACAGCAGACACAGTGTACGGCGCACTTTTCATAAATGGTTATTATTTTTAAAGAGCCTCAGTTGGACACTTTGCCTGACTGGCGCTCATCCTCTATGAGCCAAACAACATTCTCTGATGAATTCATCAATTTAGTTTGTCTGAAACTTATTGGTTGTTACACAACCACTGAAACAGCTCTCTGGGTGCAAATTGTGCTGCATTTTCCAACTCTGGTATACAGTATCATTCTTTTACATATAATCCTGACAACATTACATTGTGCAGATTGTCTAGACAAGCTAAATTATTATGTCTTTCATCTTTTCTTCTTCGTTCAATGTCATTGTCAGTGGTAATAGCTGTAGCTGTGGTAGTTTTAAAGCTATTGTTAGGGTAGAAAACCATTGTCGTTCTCTAAATGGGGTCTGCAATTTCTGATAAGCTCATGCAGGCAAACAAATCATAAGAGCCACATAAATCTGTACAAATCACAGGAAGCAGGATGAAGGTTCCTACAGTCAGGCAGACAGAGCTGAGAGGAGCACAGTACTTGTTGAAGAGGTGGTTGTTCACTTTGATCTTGGTGCTGGCTTTGAAGTCGTCTGGAAGCAGCATGACAGGTACAGGCACCTGGCTCAGGTCATTAATCTGCGCATGATCAATGGGTTAATAGTTAATGAACAGATTCACACACACACACACACACACACAGAGACCTATAGATACAGACTCATGCCATGCACATACCTACCAAGTGATTGACTCCCCACATCAGGACGCTCAACACAGGGTCACTGGCTCGGAAAACCTCCACTCTCTGCTGCACAAAGTGTTTCTTTTTCGTCTTCCTTTTGGGTGCCAGGGTGTTCAGAGGGTTGGAGGAGGCGCCCGGAGAAGCCATCGCACTCTCCCAGCCGTGTATCCGAGTCTCAGTTTGTGCGAGCAGGGGTGGCCACTGGTCATCTGCTGCGTCCTGCTTATGTAAAGTAGCCTGAAGTTAGTCCGCCTTGTTGGAGTCTCTGCAGCCGCAACCCACTGACACCTCCTGCGCTGTGCGTCGATCCAGAGCAACAACAGTGGCATTAAACAGGTGCAGCAACACTGTCAACAACAGGCTTTCTGGTCGTCTTTGCATGTGCATGTGGGACTAATTTATAAGAATGCGTTAACATGGTATTTGACAATTATACCAGACTTATAATAGGCCTTATAATAATAATAACATTAGCAATAATGATAATAACGTCCCTGTATGTCTTTAAAAATATAATAGAAATACATGATACCTTTCTGAAACTGTAATTGGAGCTGGTTTTGTGTTCAGTTACATTATATTGAATATATTTGTTGTCTACTCCAGTGGTTCTCAACCTGGGGGTCGGGACCCCCACTAGATGTCACCAAAGCTTCATGGGCAGGTCACAAGGCCTTCTTGATTTAAAAGGGTGCACGAAATTTTAAAAAATACATAGGCTTATATCCCAGCATTTGGTTCACTTCTGTGAAGAAATGTAAAAGTAAAGTGAACTGTAAATTGTCTAATAGAACGATAGCCAAGTGTCAGGGAGCTTAAAACATAGAATTTGTCAAAAAAGACACTTAAGTATGTAGGATAATATATAAAATATATTTTAATAAATATATACATATAAAACAAGTTTGCTAAATAGGAAATAATCTGCTCAAAATTCGTCCAAATCACTTATTTTACACAAACTTCTTGCAGTTACTGAGAGCACTGTTTGGGTTAGTTGAACAGTTTTGAATATAATATGAATATCCATAAAATATATCACTTAAGCAGGGGAAGTCAGTTTAATAAGTGATAGAAAAGCGGTCGCTTAAGGAAAAAGGCTGGGAACGTCTACTTAGGTTAGGGCCTTAATTTGGACTTGAGTTATGAGCACTTCAGCCAGAAAGTAATTATTCCTTCTCATATTGCTTCATTTGAAGAATCATTGAGGCCTGAAGAGTCAGTTTTATTTATATAAATATCACAAATCCTTTGGCTTCATGATCTATACAGTATATATAGGACACCCTCTGTCCTCAGACCCTCCATTCAGATAAGAAAAACTCCCCCAAAAACCCATTTAACGGTGAAAAGAGGTGAGAGTTAGTCATCTTAATCTCCCCTCTGATTTATCTTGGGACACTTGGGGGTCCTGAGACTCAGGTTTACAACTACTGTCACAAGGTGTTTATAATATCTAAAAACTCCATTCATCCAAATGAGGTGGACCAAATATTACAAACATCTTTCAATGCAAGTCCAGTGCAAATAGTCTCAACAAAAGCTTTGATGGACACCACTGCAAAATGAAATTGTTTCTATTTGTCTGCTAAGTGTGATCACAGTCTCAATGTTGCATAAATTATAACAATCACAATGCTGCTTTCTACAACTATAATTAAACAAAAAATGAACTGTTGTCCTGATTTTATTGCAGCCAATTAGATTCACTATGATTACAGAAAGCAGGTAGTCAGACTATAAACACCTTATTCAAAATGGATAACGCTATTATAGGCAAATTGATACTTGACCTTATTGAGTTTGATTTTAAAATACTTTTAATCTCCTTGCTTTAACATTTTGTGAAAAGAAGCAACAACACTTAAAATAAGGAAATATGTGTTTATATGAGTTATTTTAGGCCCTCTAACATTGATGATTCACAATAAACACAGAGTTGGAGATTCGAGAAGAAGCTGTGCCTTCTTCTTCTTCTAATTCTTCTAATTCTCTTAATCCCAGATGTTAGTTTTAAGAACTAGATGGATTTACTTCTTGAGAAAAGTAATTTTTATTTAAAAAAAGGTAACAAAACAATCTTTAAATGCACAAAATCCACAAAGCATCAGTAAAAGACCCATGGGTCATGGACCCATTTGCAATATTGCCCATTAGTGTCAGTCTTAACCTTTTTTAAACAACACACCTACTACAAACTTTCTTGATGAATGCCTAAAAAAGAAACTCATAATGATAATGCCCCCATCTAATTCACTCTGCATTAGAAATTCAGGTTTTTGAAATACTGTGTGTCTGCTCGTACAGGCAACCACTGATAAATTACTTATTCAAATTACCAGCAATATTAACATAAATAGAGTATCAAAGTAACATAAATAGGATTACATCTAGAGATTATGTACAGCAATTACAGTAATACAGTTACAGTGCTTTCAAAGTAAAAAAGAAATACTGAAAATATACTTATAAATATGATATATGATCCAAAAAATATTGTTTCTGAAACTTGGTAGATGGCGTGAAATATTATCGAGTTAAAGTGTTGAAACATAAACATGACTTTAACAATAAGTTATTGCAGAGTTAAGACAGTTCAGGTTACTGCAAATTGTCTCTTTCAATGTGACACTTGGCTGGATTAACTCACATGTTCCTATAAATCTACATCTACTGTAATATAAGCAGATATGAAAGGAATGTCTAATTAATACAGTTCTAATAAGTTCAGCAGAGGGCGCAAGGAGACAGAGTTACACCTGATAGTGAAGCAGCTTCTGTCTTCTGAGAATGAAATGTGAGATGTGTGTTGAGCTCCTTTAGACTCTGTACGGTGTTCCTTCATCTTTATCTCATATCGGTAATGACGCTTCACCCTGCTTCAGTCCAGGCTTCATGCATTTCAACAGCTCAGGCTGCCCCTCTGTTTGGTGTTTGAGGGGACAGGCATGCCGTTCTGATCCACACACCAGCACTTGCCACGTCGCTTTCCTCGAGACGACCAACACTGCACAAACACAACAGACAAATAGATCCGTTTATGCTGCTGGAAATACAAGCACGTGTCTATACAAGTCAAGATTTTAATCATTTTCTGGAATTCATGTTGTTTGCAAACTCACCTGCTTCTTTCTGAAGAAACCACGCTTGTCACAGTTGGGCATGTAGATGTCATGTTCTGAGTTAAATAAATGGGCATCAAGACCTTTGATAAGTGTAGTTAGCAGTTTACGACATGGAGCCTGTAGGAAGAGTTCAGAAAATACATGTAAGTGTAAGCCTGAATGTAATTAATGAGTTGTTTTTTAATTTCTTTAGATAAACAGGATGTTTACCTCATCTGGATCCTCAGTGGGTGCTGGGTCTAGGATCAGATAAAGACAAACACATTTAGTATTGGTCATTCATAACTGTGTATACCTGCTTAAATCAAACAACATCCATTTCATTTCATTGCGAGGTCAGCTCCAATTATTCTTTTTTATGAACTGCTTTTAGATATTTTTTTTTTGTTTTGTTTTGTTTTAGCAAAAAAGCACACATAGATGAACAATAAAAACATCTTTTAAAACAAATAAATGGTTATACTGCAGTCACTCATGCAGCCTACTGTCGTATTTCACTATATATCTATATATAGATGTTTTTCTGTAACTGCTTGTCCAGGACTGTGCAATTCAAAACAGAAACTCTTGGGTAAACACAGGTGTATTTCTCTCCTAACTATCACAAACTGATGATCACATTACAGGGAGATAAGCAATGAAGACAAACAAATCAGCAAATGGTCGGTGTTGGCGTTGAAAACCCAAATCCAATCCAACCATAAACCTCATCTGAAGCCAGACTGAATCTGTTTCATTCATTCACTTACATCGTCCTCCAGACCCTTACCTGCCGTTTGGACGTTTTCAGTTGGGCCAATGCTGCTGGCGTTACTGCAGACTCCCCTGCCTTCCAGCAGGGCACGGAGGGGCCTCGGGTCATCCTCTTGAGGTGCACAGCGTAGACCGTTGGCACAGCTCAGAGTGTAGACCCCACATGGTTCTCCAACAGCCAGAGCAGTGGTGTTTAAATCTACAGGCGGCTGTGTGGACCTTGATTTACACGTGGAACAATCTCTGGATGGGGTGGTCAGCGACACTGGGCTTGTCAGAGCCGGCTGCAGGAGGAGCAGCACCAGGATGTTTAGGTACAGAAGCATCTCACACTGGAAGTTGTCCACTGGTAGATGGTAACAGTCCAGCCTCCTACAGCTGTTTAGTATCAGGATTTCTGATCTTAGATTAGGTCCACCGACTGCTGTTTGTCTGTGTCGAAAGGTGGATAGTAATTCCCTCAAGCCAAGACAAAATGATAATGAGGCTGACAGACACCACTGGCAGCAGCTTTTAAAGAGCCCCAACCAGTGGGGAAAGGTATGGGAGGGTACGTGATGGAGAATGTTAGTTTTCCCTCTCATTTCCACACAGCTGAGCACACCCCATTTCCCCTGCTCTCTGACACACACACACTCACGCATGCTCATACCATTTGTTATTTGTCATCTTGCAGGATAGTAATGTTTTTTTGCAGCGGCATGAATCACAAACTGATTGCTGTATACGCTCCTCCATTGCTTTTCCTTTTCCCCCACTGAGGGGGTCATTTATTTACAGAGGTGACACTGTCGTGTAACCAGCCAATCAGGGCTCAACAGACAAGATATTGACCTTGTAAGTTTTGAAATTACTGCTGTTGAAATGAAATAGAAACATCAATTTGAATATTTGCCATACAGAATTTATTATATTATCAGTCAATTGTTGTTGCTGAAAATTAAAATTGAGTAAAAGTACAAAATAAAATGAATAAGTGAAACTAGCAGTGGTGGAATCTAACAAATTACATTTATTCAAGAACTGAATTCACTGTAATTTTACAGTAGTTGTAATGTACTTGAGTACTTTGACTTGATGTTAGTTTATACTTGTTCTTCACTACATTTCACAAGCAAATATTGTACCCTTTTCACTCCACTATATTTATCTGACAGCTGCAAATTACTTGTTACTTTGCAGATTTTACATACAAAACTAATACAAGGACATTGATGATTAAAGATAAGGCAAACAGTGCTACATAATCTTTTTTTTCTTTTGCTCATGTACTGTGCAGTTTATGGTGATTATAGTGAGCATGATTTGAAATGCATACATACAGTAAAAAAAAAAAGGAACAACTTGTTACAAACAAAATGCACAAATAAACCTACTGGCCTTATGAAATACTCATAACAGTGCAAGTACTGTGAATTATAATAACAGGAGTAAAGGACTTCATTACCTCCACCCTTTTCATCCTTGTTTTCAACATTGTTATGACTTCTTTAAATAGCAACCACGAAACAAACACTTTGTTCAGAGAACGTGTTTACAGAGATTCTAACTGCAGGGCTAAAGATTCTGAGGAAACGGCCAACACTGAGAGGCTGAAGGAGTGCCACTCAAGGTTGGATGACTAAGACATTAATAGCCACAAGCAAAAAGTCCCACCCTGCAAATTCCACTGTCTGTGAGTCACAAACAGATTAAATTAGAAGACACGATCTTAAAAAATCTGACAGCCTGTTTTCTAACTTGATATATTAATTTTGCGCCCACTTCATTCTGAGATTCAAATACAATTTAATTACAAATATCGCCAATAAGGAGGGATAGAAAGACTATGATGACTCAAATATCTCCTAAGTCAAGGTAAGACTACTTGATCTGAACGATTTATCCCTTAATACCTTGGGATGTATTAGGCCTCTGTGGGCGATACTAAACCCGTAGGATTTATTTGCATGAATGTGATGAGATATCTTGATTTTGTGACAATAAACAGTCCCACCTGGTCTTTTATTTTCATTAATTTTTTCATTTTCAATTCATTTAAAGGGCCAGTGGAGGGGATTTAGTGGCTTCTAGCAGTGTAGTTGTACATAACAACCCCTCCCCTCACCCTCTCATTCCAAGTGCGTGGGAGATACTAAGGTGGCTGTTGAAAGGCTACTGTAGGAACATGGCCTGTAGATTAAAACAGCTCATGCTAAGGTAACAAAAACACAACAACTCCTATATTGTGATTATACACAAATAAAAACATACATATGAATATTATATCACATTTCTGCCAATAGAGCCTCCTAAATGTCACACACTTGACTTATAATTTAATTTTTAGAAATTGTATCACGGCATACAATTACACTGTGATAGAAGATGTCCTCCGTACTGCCCACCTCTTTACTTTCCTTTACTAATATGAAAGGGTCACGTTGCATAACTAACAGGTAGGCAGTGGAGTAGTGCAGGGTTCTTTTTTCCTAGGATAGCGAAGACATGAAGTTTGTCCTGTTTTTATGAGTGGGTGGAGTAAGACAGGTGTCACTTCAATGTTCAAGTTCAAGAAAGCGTAATATCCTAAAAATATTTCCATGACTGACGTCACACTTAACAAAACAATACAAACAGCAGTTGGTCCATTTTTGGGTGAACTAAATATGCAAGAGTTGGGCGTTTCACCTTTGCTGGACATACATATATACATTAAAAGTGCATGCTTCATGATTCTCACAGATTACTGCACAGAGGATGTAGTTGTGATCTTCTTTTTTGTGACTAAAAAGCACAACTTTAGCTACAGTCGTTCTTGCTTTTCCCAAAGTAGAATAGAATAGAATAAACTTTATTGTCCCTGAGGGGAAATTTGTCTGTTTGTTGCTTCACAGAAACAAGTATACCTCAACAACAGACACACATTACAAAATCAACATAAAAACAGTAAAACAATACTTAATTAAATGTGACGGTGAAGAATGTCTCACTATACTAGAATATTGACACAAACATATAAGAAGCTTCTACCAAACAGTTCAACTTTACATTATTTTTGCATAAAATAAGAAATGTTAACAAAACAAACACTGAGGTGACAATGATTATTTTCTTACAAGGACTTTTTTACAGTCTATTATGTGTACTCCTCATGGAAAATGTATGTAAAAGGCACATCTAATACTTAACTGTAAAAGAAAAAAGACATTTAAACAACACACACACACA